GGGGTGTGCGGGGATAGATAGCTAACTTCTCTTGGCAACACTTGTGATCGGAGCAGACATTGGGCCTCTGTGGATGTCTAGTTCTGCATAGTCACTGCTGTCAACTTCTCGTCACTCATAAAGTCAGGCTAAGTTCTTCTCTAACCATATGGTACCTTGGGCTCAACTACCGGGGGGGGGGGGTATTGTAATGAAACCCCGTAATATAGAAGCTTTGCCATCCACTGCTTGTCGAATTTTACCCCGTCTACACACAAGACATGGATTTACGGAGGATCACCTGAGAGATATATAGACAATGTATATGGTGGCAGGCTTGGAAAAAAAAAAATCGTGCAAATACAGCAGCAAGTCATGGCAGTTATATCCTCATTTGCTGAAGTTTTCCAAAGATTTGAGATTACATGGGTAGTTAAATTTCAAGATATGCACCATGGTTTATTATGCTATTAATGGCCGTAGTACCCTTGCGTAGACGTAACGAAGTTGGTAACGTAATGGGTCGTAGTGGTGATTACGTGCTGGACAAGTTCTTGGGTAGTCCAAACCGGTAGGGTGGTAATCTGGAGTGACCATAGTTGGAATTAAAAATCTTTCAATGGGTGAATTGGTGTGGACCCCTCGCTATAGATGGGGTGGTGATACAACAGATTGAGGTTCTTAAATACAAGTAATGCATGGAGGCATGACAAAAATAAACCAATTACCTGGTAATCAGTGGACACGTGGTAGATGCTCTGCCAGAATTTAACGGTCTCGGTGGTGGTCACGAAGCTGGTGAAGACGGAGACGAAGGTGCGGGAGGGATTCACGAACTCCTCGGCGGTCTTGATGGCGACCTGGAACCCAAGAACCAGGTCAAGGCTCGCATTCATTAGAAATATAAACAATATTCGGAAGATCAGCTACATGCATGGCTCTCCTTACCGGTGTGGTGGTGACCCTGAGCACCGAGGTCACCGTCCTGGCCACCTCGGGCACGAAGTCGCGCTCCGTCGTGTACACCGTCACGGGGAGCTCCACGAAGGTGCTCTCCGTCACCCAGATGTCGCTCGTCGTCGTCACGCGGAACGTGTGCGTCACCGTGTCCTGCGAGAACAAACGTTAGTTCTATTATATGGAAGACGCAGATTTCTATAGGACCGAAACCCGCCTCCTTACCGTCCTCGTCACGGTCTCCGTCACGGGGCGAGCAACCCGCGGCTCTGGGATTCTGCCCGTGGCTTTCGTACTGTGCAGAGGCACCAGGCACCTGGGGATTTAGAATATCGAGATCATTACCAATAAACCTTATTGTATGCAATAAAAGTCAATTTATGAAGAAAACAAATCAACATACCAGACCCAAGCAAGGACCAACGCCACGATCATATTGGCCATCTGAAAAATATATAAATTTAGTTTGCAAGAGTTCAAGTTATTACTCTCAAATTTTATACGACAATCCCCCAACAAACTATACAAATAATAAACGGACTATGACCCAAATATCAAAATTAATCACCTTTCAGTTTTTTCATTGTCCCGACTGACGATTTGTTACAGTAGCGGATTGCCGTGACTCGACTGGTGTTTTTCCAGCCACGCGGTTACAGAATTATCGTCCCTTCCTGACCCGGAGAAGGTAGAGGGACTCTGAGCGGTGGTGCCTCCCACTTACCTATCCAATAGGTCGGTGCCTCCATGGCTAACGTAGGGATAACAAAGTGACCGAACGTGTCATTTCGGCGGAGTGATACAAAAAGAGGTGAACGTCATTATCCCTTACTACCGGACAAAGTAATTGTGAACATTCTATCGAAGTTATAATGGCAATGGCACAGGTATTTTTTTTTTTTTTTTTTTTTGTGATTTTCTAATACGTATTCTTTTTAGTAGGACATACAAATAGAGTTTTGTTTAATTTGTATGCGCCGTGTTTGAATATCATACCATAATCTGCATCTTCATGATCATCGTTCGAAGCAAAGAATTGATATGAACGGCTGAATGGTGACGATATCCTATTAATATTTATTTTTTATTTCACGCTTCGATTTAAAATACATGAATGCACATGGCAACAAAAGTTTTTATTTCCGCTGAACTAAACCGCGACACGTGCATTGAACGTGCTAAGAATACATCTCCATTTCAAAACAAAATAAGTTACAAGTTCATCGACAACTATCTATCATTTGTACTTGAGTAAAATCAAGAACCCAACCATCGTGGCAAATTTAACACCCCAAAGAATTCAAACATAACTGGTTGTACGAGATTGGGACCTCTCTTTTCCCTTCGTCCTTGTCCTAAAGCTACCGATCAATAAAAACGAACCACGCACACACGAAATCTTAAATTAATTCCGTGCCCGCTCCGTGTAACGCTAGGAGCGATCCTGCTGCCATGCCAGTGCCTGACCCATAGCCTTTCATTTTAAACATTGCGGCCGATTTCCAATTGTCGACCCTTAGTATCTTATATTTACTAGCTGAGGTTAATATTATCTTGGTCGATGCCTCCCTGGTTCGTCTCCCTTGTCGACGCTTCGCTCTCGCTTCCCCATCTACCCTTGATCATTTCTCCGCGCCGCTCCTCTCGCTTTATCTAAGTTCGTGGGTCCGTGTGTGTGGCGAGTTCCATGGGCGGGTAGGCAAAGTTGTGCAACAGGAAATGGAATCAGCATCTGGAAGGATGAGAAAGACGGAGGGAAGGACTGTTTATTTTGTTTTGTGTGTGTTTGTTTTTTTTTTCAGGTTTATTTAACTTTTTTGCCATTGCAATTATTTCATTTACTAGTCTGGTAATTGTTGAGGTTTTTGTTGTGCATCCTATCAGATATATTATTTTTAGTTGCCGATTACATTTAACAATCCATCTGCTAATTGGCATTTAGGTATCGATTATCCAACACATACCATTATATCTCATTAAATATTGCCATTGCTGTGGTTGCTTGGGATGACAAGTGCGATAAAGGTGGGTAGGCGTATTGGCCACTTCGTGATATCCGTTATGTACAACTTTAGATGTTTTTAAATACATTAAGCTCTGTTAGGTTAACGTTATGCTGAGAGACTAGCACTACCGTAACTCCTAGTAATATTGATAATTAATAGATTGAAGAGTAGGGCATCGGAGGATATCAGTGTATCTTGCTTATGGATTTGCATGAGAATCCGAGTTAAGTGTGTTTTGTCGTTTTTGTCTTCCTGGCATATCCAAACAACATATAATAACAATGTCAGTTCTAACTCTAACGATTACTAACTTATGCACCTATCTGTCCTATTCTATGCTATGACCTCGCTGCAATTTTCTGTGCCAGTTTGTAACGCGCGCGCGCAACAACCCACACACGACACACACACACACGACTACACACAGCACACAGCACACACACACCACACACACACACACACACACACACACAGTCAGCGGGTTGAAATTTCGAGAAAATCATTTACTTTATTATACAAATTGGCAGAAGTATGTGTGGGATTCATGTCGAACAAATTGCAAGCAAGACAAGGAGGGGGAGAAACAAGAACGAACAAATAAGAATATTCGTATATTTTCTTATTCTTCCCTTTGTTGTTCTACTCAGATATATATTTAATTCATGTTTAGAAACATATGTGCACACACACACACACACACACGACACACACACACACACACACACACACACACACACACACACACAACAAGAAAGAACAGACAGACGAAGACAGACAAAACCAACAAGCAGACAAGACATTAATTTTGATTACACACAAAATCTAAGCTGTCCGACCATCTAACAATGGCTGTTTCTGCAAGTCATCGCCAAGAATTGGGTATATATACGCGTAGCTTCACACGATATCACACTTGCTAAGCTGCAATAAATCTCTGAGTGTAGAATTAGTCTCGGTCAAAGACAATAGTGAGGATATACTTGTAACATGTAGATATAACAGCTATTTCTTCCTGGTGTCCAATAGGTGTTATTATTATTAGTAGTAGTATCTTTATTTTATTATTATTTGTTTAAAATTCTATCTTTATTATCAATATAAAGATGAGTCTATTTTTTTCCCCACTCATCGATTATTGACGTTATGATATTGATGATTACAACGGCCAATATTGTTTTGGTTGTAATAATACGAGTAATAATGAGTAATATCGTCATCATAATCATTATAAGAATTATTATACATTATTGATTAAAAATACAATTACAAGTTACACACACACACACACACACTACAATTATAAGATTACAATTTTAAAGTCACACACACACACACACGTAAACATAACATCATTCTTCCTTTTTAGTTTTTGTCATAGGTAGATTTTCCGGCTTGGCACATGAAAGCTGACCATGAACCTTTTGCTCAGGAGGCAGGTCAAATTTACCCGATGGAGATCAGGTCATATCAGCGTCAACTCCGTCGCCTGTGGTGTCATATACCGGTGGACGGGAACTTGGGTCGTGAGAGGTCAAGGTCGCACGGGTCGTAGGAAGGTGTATTAAAGACAAGATTAATTGTAAAAAGAGAAAGGCGTGGTCTTTCTCATTCTCATTATCTGTACTAGTATTTCCAAACCCTTTCTACGCCCGCACCCCTAAGAAAATTTGACTGTCCTCGCACCCCCTTTAAATTTATAGTTTATTTAAGGGTAAAGGAGGTGAATTTCTACTAAATTTGATCAAAAGAGTTTTTTTCATGTTATACTAATATTTTAACTCAAATCAAACATATGGACAAGAAAATATGTCCCAGATTATCTGAATAAACTCTGTAAGAATAATCATTTGCTTGAAGTATCTATATGTAATAATCAAAGAACTAACTTTAAAACTTATATAAATGAATTTTCAATTCAATGCCTCTTTTCTTCCATTTT